CCGCCACAGGCCCCCCGCTCGCCTGCCACAGGCCCCAGGCCCCCCAGCTGCCCGCCGCAGGCCCCCCAGCCGCCCGCCGCAGGCTGCCCGCCGCAGGCCGGCCGCCCGCCACAGGCCAGCCGCCCGCCACAGGCCAGCCAGCCGCCCGCCAGCCGCCCGCCCGCCACAGGACAGCCGCACGCCCGCCACAGGCCAGCCGCCCGCCCGCCTGCCACAGGACAGCCGCCCGCCCACCACAGGCCAGCCAGCCAGCCGCCCGCCACAGGCCAGCCGGCCGCCCGTCACAGGCCAGCCAGCCGGCCGCCCGCCACAGGCCAGCCAGCCGCCACAGGCCAGCCGCCCACAGCCACCCACAGGCCAGCAGCCGGCCACAGGCCAGCCAGCCAGCCAGCCGCCACAGGCCAGCCAGCCACCCACAGGCCAGCAGCCGGCCACAGGCCCACAGCCAGCAAGCCCACAGCCTGCCAGCCCACAGCCTGCCAGCCGCAGCCACCAAGCCCATAGACTGCCAACCAGCAACCGTAATTGAGGTAAGAGGAGCCAACTTGGCCTAGGTATCAGAGGTATCAAGAGGTGTCCCAAGACAGCAATGTAAACACTGTCTTTTCTCTGAAAAGATAGTCTTTACATTAAAAATCCTGCACGGACATGCTACAGATACCAGAACAACTACTTTATGCTGCAGTGGTTCTGATGACTATAGTGTCCCCTTAAGAATTGTGTTTTTCATTTTTCAAAATGAAGCTTTGTTCGTTTAACCCCTTGAGGACCAAACTTCTGGAATAAAAGGGAATCATGACATGTCACACATGTCATGTGTCCTTAAAGGGTTAAAAAGACTGGCTGCTAACTTTTTAGCTGACTCCTAGATTCCAAACAAATTTGTCAAGCCATGCATTATAGTAACTTTTGTTAGAAAAATAAAAACTAAAAAAAAATATAAAATCACTTATAACATTCACGGAGCACATATATATGAAACCGTGAATCTGCACTCTCTTAAATGTGCTTACATTATGGGACACATTGACTTTGTGACAAGCTGATGCAGATGATCATATACTGTAGCTAGAGTACCTCTATTTTTGCTTCATTCCTGTGTTTTTTAAAAAACAATTATATTTTTCAAAACGTGGGTGAGTGTACTGGATTTTGTATAGTGTACTGGATTTTGTATAGTTTATAGCAGGGGTGCACGAAAGGTAGCTACCCAGATGTTGTAGAACTACAACTCCCATGATGCTTTGCATGCTTTTAGAATGGCAAAGCATTGTATAAGCTGTTGTTTAAAAACATCTGGGAATCTACCTTTTGGGCACCCTTTTTAAATAAATAAATAAATATATATATATATATATATATATATATATATATATATATATATATCTAAAAAAAATATTTTTTGACTATATTAAATATATATATTTTTATAACTCATTCGCCAGTACTCCAGTATTCTATTCGGCCGGATGCTAGTCTGCATCAATGCATACAAAATAAACCCTTTATTTACTTAAAGGGACACTACAATCACCCAGACCACTTCAGCTCAATGAAGTGGTCTGGGTGCCTGGCCCCCTAGGTTTTAAACCATCAAATGTAAAACTAGCAGTTTCAGAGAAACTGCTATGTTTACATTGCAGGATTAATCCAGCCTCTAGTGGCTGTCTTCCTGACAGCTGCTAGAGGCGCTTCTGTGACACTGGATGCGAAAATCGTGCTCTTGCCGCGGATTACGCCCCACTTGGGAGCTGACGCCGGCGGGGGTGGAGAGGTCACTGCGAGGGACCCCGGCGCTGGATAAAGGTAAGTGGCTGAAGGGGTTTTAACTCCTTTAGCACACCGGAAGGGGGAACCTAAGGGTTATATAGTGTCAGTAAAACGAGTTTGTTTTCCTGACACTGTGGTGATCCTTTAACTGATCCCTGCGCCAATATCCCTCTGCAGTGGGTTGATGCTCTGCCCCCTTTGACGTCCCACAACAAGCAGGCGCTAATGCGATAGAAATGCCGCGCATGCATTAGATCACAATGCTTTCCTATGGGGAAAAATCTGACCCTGGAGGTCATCATGCAGAGCGTGAGGACGTCCAGCATCAGATACCGGACCAAAGGTCTGTTTTAATCCAGGAAGCCCTCAGGTGGCTGATAGCCACTAGAGGCTGACTTATTGATGGAACGTAAACATTGCAGTTTCTCTAGAACGTTGCAGCTCGATGAGCAAAAGGGACACTGTACCCACCCCACTTCAATGAGCTGAAGTGGTCTGGGTGCCTTTTGTGTCCCTTTACCTTTTGAAATCTTACTTGAGTAAATAACTCTGTCAGTGTTTTATTTAATGGGATAATATCCAGAGCATTAAAACTTAAAATGGCACATTGCTTTGCACATGGTTGATGGCTTGGAGTAGGTTTCTGATGCAAAATGTGGGGTATGGTGGAAATATTTCCCATTATAGCGGAGATTTTTCATATAGTGTTGGTTTTCATTAACATTGTATGGCCTCTTAAGATTGGGCTAAATTCAGTTTTACCCCATGTGGGATGGTATTTATGCAAAAGGGACTTGTGCATGTACGGTGTCCTTAAAAGTTCAAGCACAGTACAGAATTGTGTATTTCCTATTTATTTTATCCTCTACGATGGTACTGACTGAGCACCTCCATCTTGGCATCCTGTAAATCAGTGTTCTAATATTGGCTCTATCCATTTTATTTGTCAGTCCACTTTGTGTGAATGTGCATTGGTTGTGTCAGGATTAAAGTTTATTATCTAGTGTTACTTTTTTTTTTTTTAAAGAAAGACTCGCTGCACTGAGATTTGACACCTACTGGTGCATGTAACCTGGCCCTCTGTTCATGGTATTGGTACATTTTTGCATATTCATATTTGGATGAAACTAACATTTCTGCTCTTGCTACACATAGTGTACTTATGTGATGGGTCTTGTAAGCTCTCTTCACCAGGAATGAGCACTAGGCCTTTTCTCAGTGATGAGTGGTAGGTACAGTGTACTCTGCTTTTACATTGTCCAGGTGTGTGTTGGGAAACTGTTCATGCACCAATGAATACATTATTGTAATCTAGATTTAAAAAACCCACAAATGTGTCATTGAGTTCAACCATTAAACATATCTTTTTAAATGTGTTTGGCAGTTCATTTTCACCTACAAATGATTGATGAGACTCATGTCTAATCCCTATGACACATTACATACGCAGGTTGTAGTCATTTTCAGCACTACAATGTCTTCATCAGAAGGTTATAAACACAAAAGTGGTGCAATGAAGAGAAATGAAAAGAAAGAGGAACAGAAGAAAATTGAAGCATCAACAAGCAAAATCCACAATTTTTTTCAAATGAAAACGGATCCAGAGCAGAATGTAGCAAGTGGAATGCCAGTGGAGACTGAAACTTCTGTTTCTGAAACATCTAATGTATGTGTTTTAGCTGAAGAGACCAAAGAGAGAGAACCTCCTATAAAAATGCCCAGGAAGGAGACTGCATTGTCTCCGCTATGGGAAAAATCACCGTCCCCAGAGGATTTCTTTCTTCATTCCCATGATTTGGGAAAGGCTTGAATTTCCATGGAAATGTTCTGGGAATTTCATCCTAAACAACCTACTCAGGACATCCCATTCAATGGAAACCTTGTTTACTTCCGAAAAGGTATACAAGAATCAAATATTAATAGAAAATGGGTTACTTACAATGGCAAAAAGAAGACCCTGCACTGTTCAATTTGCCTTATGTATTGTGCAGAAAAATATCATCATACTAATTGGATTCAGGGTTGTAATGACTGGAGACATATTACAACAAGACTTACCGAGCATGAGCAGTCCCAGTGCCATAAACTTGCTAGCGAAGCCTATATGATCAGTATTAAAGGCAAATCGATCAAGCACAAACTTTCCGTTGACCAGCTTTCTATGAGGCACAACCAGGTACTTCAGCGCCGTACTGTTCTAAGCAACATCATTGATGGTTTTTTTATTGGAATCCAAGCATTGCCATACAGAAGCAGCCATTCAGAATCTGTAGCTGATGTCTTTGATGATGACCGTCTTGAAAATTGAGGAAATTTTTTGGAGGCGGTGAAACTCCTTGCGGAATATAGCCCAGTCCTAAAAGACCATTTGGTAAAAGTAACGAAAGTGGCCAAAAACCGTGACCCATCTCAAAAAGGGCGAGGAAAATTTGTAACTTTTCTGAGCAAGTCCTCTATAACTAAATTGTTTACAATCATTGGAGATATGATTAAAGAAGACATTGTTAAGGAAGTTAACAATGCAGGGATGTTTTCGGTACAAATGGATTCTACTCAAGATGTCTCTGCACATGATCAATGTGCCATTGTTGTGCGATATGTTGTGGAAGATAAAGAGCGATTGGTACGCCTTCTGAATGTTGAGGACTCCAGCAGCAAGGGCTTGCATGATTTGCTAAGAGATTCTTTGTCTGACATTGGACTGCATTTGGAGCAGTGTATTGGTGATTCCTTTGATGGAGCTGCTAACATGTGTGGCACATATACAGGATTGCAAGCATTGATGACAGAAGTGCGTCCTAGTCACATTCATACGTGGTGCTACGCTCATGTCCTAAATCTTGTTATATGTGATGCAAGCAGTGTATGTGTTCCAGCAGTGAGTTTGTTTGGACTTCTTGGTAACTTGTCCACCTTTTTCTCTGAGTCCTACAAAAGGATCAAAATTTGGGAAGACCAGCTGAAAGCCAAGACTGGAAGAGCTAAACTGAAAAGACTTGATAAAATTGGTACTACCAGGTGGTCAAGCAAAGCCAGAGCCCTTCGAAAACTTTGCGGAACATATGAAAACCACTCTGAGGAATTATATTCTGACCTCATCCTTGTTCTGAAGCATGTAAGTAGTTCATCTGATTTTATAAATTCTGTTCGTCATGAGGCTCTAAAACTAAATGAAAACCTATGTAAATTTGAAACCATCCTGGCCGCTTTTACATTTATAAGAATTTTTGACATTACTACTCCCGTGTCAGATTACTTGCAGTCACCAGCCCTTGACATTATGCAGGCATGGCGAATGGTTGAGGATGCTACAAACCATTTATCAAAAATTTCAAGAGACTTTTCAGGAGTCTGTGGATCTGCAACAACTTTCATTGATCACCTGAATGAAAAACTAGCTGCAGAGGACATTGCCATCAGTAAATCTTTCACAGAACACCGATCAACAAGATGTGTAGTTCCTGCAAATCAACAACACAGCTTTGAAGTTTCATGCTACAATGTCATCTGTGATAAAGTTTTGGAAAGTATGAGAACCAGATTTGCCACTCATGGCAAACTTTACATGCAGATTTCATGTTTTGACCCAAATCGGTTTGAGGAAATACTGGCTTCTCCTGAAAAAATAAAGTTTGATGCCATTTCTACAGCTGTTCCTGAAATTGATGGCCCTGTTCTTCGTGAAGAATTGATTTCATTTGCATCAAGTTACAGAAATCTCTCCAGAGGACTGTTTGATAGTGATGATGAAACATTGAGCTCTGCTGGAGAGGAAGAACCTGACTTCTCTGACTCTGAGCCATCAGCTTGTAAGCCTTCTATGAAAAAACTCTGCTGCCAAAAATGCACGTCCTGTGCATTTAAGCTGCTTTTTCAGTACAGATTATGTTCATCGGCCTATGAAAATCTTTATATGGCATACAAGTACTTGATCACTCTAAGCACCACACAATGCTCCTGTGAACGGTGTTTTTCAAAGTTGAAAATTCTAAAATCAAGACTTAGATCAACGCTTACTCAGCAAAACCTGGAGACATTGATGCTTATTGCAATAGAGAAATAAGTTTCTTTAAGCATAAAGAGAGACAAAGAGAAAATCATAGACCGTTTTGGCAAGACATCTGCTGAACTCCACTCTCTGCTTCTCTTTTAAACTGCAGACTGGCCAACGCTACAGGGAGTGCAGAATTATTAGGCAAGTTGTATTTTTGAGGATTAATTTTATTATTGAACAACAACCATGTTCTCAATGAACCCAAAAA